AAGTCGGAAGACTGGAGGAAATATGGAAAATGTGTAATTCTAGCTTGGGTAAGTGAAGAGAAGGTGATACGATCAAATGACATAGGGACCATATAAGGTAATGGCAGTTCAGGGAAGAAGGTAATGCATCTAGATTGGGGCTTGCTTCCCTGGTGGGCCCAAGGATGGCTCAGGAGAGACATTTGGAGGGAGGGTGAATGTATGACTCTGAATCTTGTGCATGTGCATATTTATTATAAAACTTGAGCTTAGGGCCCTTTATCTGCATGGGCCCCTTTTATAGGTACACAAGATGTTGCTTTTTAAAGATACACATAGGTAAAAATACTTTTTAACTGCAGTTAGTATCGCTGATTCTTCCCACCGCAGCTTCATCGTGATTCCCCACATTAGATGGCTGAGTGGCTACCGGCATTTTGGGGACTCCCTAAGGAAAAACTGAGCTGGGGATACATTTAGCTTGAGTTTAGAAGGGTATATTTGTTATTTGCAGCTGTTTAAGTTAAGTTATTGCTGGCTCATCCAGTAGAGGAACAGCTTCCAGGAATATCCCATTCTATGCATTGCAATATGAATTTATTCAATGGCACCCAGCAAAAGAAATTTCAGCAAAGTGAAGCAAAAACAAGGTTAGAAATGTATGGGGTCAGAGGGAAGCTGTGAAAAATTCTCTCAATCATCAGACATAAAAAATGTAAAAAGACTTTTGTTTGTATCAATGACTAATCAAGATGGAATTCTTTTCTGGAAAGAATTGTGGTGCATAAAGATGGCTCTGAACTCTTCATCACTCCCTCCATTGTGTGGTGGCGTCTGTTTCCCCTCTCCTTAAATCTAGGCTGGTCCTGTAATTTGCTTTGGCCAACTGAATATGGTGGAAGTGATGCTGAATAACTTCCAAATCTGGACCTTAGAAGACAAAGCTTTTTGCTTTTGCACACTGAGAATGTTGTATCTTGGCCTCCAGATGCCATGCTTTTAAAATTACAGTTTGGAAGGAAAAGCCATATAAAGGAGAACCAAGGCTATCAGCCAACAGCTGGCACAACTGCCAGCCTCACAGTGAGCCATCATGGAGGTTCTAGCTTGGTGTGACTCCGATGTTTGCAGTCCGGGGAAACATCAAGTTTAGCAGATGGCCTGTCAAGTTAAGCTCAGCCCACCCAGAATCCTGAGAAAAGAAATGGCTGTTTTAAATTGCAAGTTGCATAATAAGTAGTTGCTTGACAATAGATCAACAAATTCCTATTGCATCATGCATAATTTTAAACTCTCCTTTGGTGTAGTGGTGCGTGTGTACATACACAAAAATTTCTCATTAATGGAAATTGCATGAAGTAGAATTTTGTGATGTTGATATTTGTCAACTTTTAAAACTACAGACGATTCAGTTTTGGGAGCAGAAGGAAAACAAAAGGTCAAGGGAATTTTTTGTTGAGAGGACAAATTTGACTCTATTTATAGAGCTAAGAGGAAGGAGTGAGTAGGAACGGAGAGTTAAAGGTACAGAAGAGAAGGGAAGTACTTTAGCAAGTCCTTGAGTGAGACAATAATGAATTGGATTAATGACACGAATTGAGATGCTGGCTTTGTCCAGAAGGACGTTAACTTCATTCTGTGAGAGTGGTGGAAATGAGGTAAGCAGGAGAGATACTACTTACCTAAGTCAACCATTTATCTCAAAGTACAGTACTTAAAATAACGTCAACCTGCAGCTAAGCAAAATATTATTTCTTGATTTCATGGATTTAACTGGAATAAAAAACATTTTCTCTATTTAAAAAAATGAAAACAAAAAACCACATCTCAAGAGTGGTAGAATTGCTTTGTCTGGTTCAAATTTCTGAAACTCTAGGGTTAACTTCAGGCTGGGCAGAGTGGCTCACGCCTGTAATCTCAGCACTTTGAGAGGCTAAGGTGGGAGAATTACTTGAGCCTAGGAGTTCAAGACCAGCCTCATCTCTTTCTAAGAGATGATGAGACCACCATCTCCTAAAAAAAATTCTGTGGAACACTTACAGAATATGGTAGATAGGTCATTCTTTTAGGGCAGTTTACAATGGTTTTCCAGCAGAGCAAACAACTATCTGCTGAGAAAAACTTAGAACAGACCTCAGTTGTGGGAAAAAGGAGAAAAAATACTTCATTCAAAAGCATTTTTTGCTTTAAAATGGTAGTTAAAAACAGGGCTTCCTTTTTGTTGTTTAATTTTGTTTGGAAATATTTACTTTTTAGTCTTAGGTAATTATACTTGACATAACTTACTTCTAAAAAAAAGGCAATAATACTCTAATTTTTGTAAGTTTCATTTTTCTTGGTGAGGATTTATTCAAAATCAACCTTAAAAAAACTACTCAAGCCAGGTGCGGTGTCTCACACCTGTAATCCCAGCACTTTGGGAGGCTGAGGCGGGTGGATCACTTGAGGTCAGGAGTTCAAGACCAGCCTGGCCAACATGGTGAAACCCTATCTCTAAATACAAAAAGTAGCTGGCACAGTGGCATGTGCCTGTAGTCCCAGCTACTGAGGAGGCTGAGGCAGGAGAATCTCTTGAACCCAGGATGTGGAGGTTGCAGTGAGCCGAGATCATACCACTGCACTCCAGCCTGGACAACAGAGGGAGACTCAGACCATGTCCTCTCCCTCTCACTCCCCCCAAAAAGAGAAGAACATGGCAAATGGCAGTTACAGTGAAGCGACACCCTCAGGAAGGAGGCTTCAAAATCATTTTTTTCAAAGTCTACTGTGTGCCGTATTCTAAGTGCTGAGAAAATAGGAATGGCCAAGACAGACAAAGCTCCTCACCTTGTGGAGCTTACAAATACGTACGGGGAGAAAGGAAAACAGCCACATACATAAAGACATGAACATCAGAAGGGAGATGGAAAACAGCAACCATCAGTGTTGCAATCAGATGAGAGGGCCTGGGGACAGGGAGAGGAGTGGTGACTGGGGGGTTGGCAGATTGCCTGGCTGAGGTGGACTTCTCTGAGGCAGGAGTATTTCATCTAAAATGTCAACAATGAGCCAGCCACGAGAAAATCCGGGAGGGGATCCTTGCAAACAAAAGACACGTGCAAATGATGTCACCAGCCTCTCTCACTCTAATGACACAAAATGTACAGATAGCAGTGAGCTACCCATGTGTGCCTATTAGAAATCATATTTCCATGTCCATTCTTTGGGATTTGAGGCATCTGGTGCTAATATGTGTATCTTCTAGATGTTTAAATTGAGGGTTCATTAGAAAATCTGATTTATAAAAAAATTTAAAACATAGGGAATAAAAAGAGAGTAACAAGAAACATAACATTAAAATGCACATAGAATTTAAATTTAAATTCCCCAAAGGAGACGTCTTGACCATCCAGCTAAGTATAACCACACAGCAAGAGGTTTCTTAGGGAAGATGAAAGTCACTCTAACAGAACAGGAAAACCAAATTTATACATTTGTGTGTGATCATTTCAAACATTAAAAATTCTGTCTAGAAAAAAAGTTTTATAATTCCTATGTTATTGACATAAACTAAGCATAATAAACTCAAGAGTGAAATGATTAGATTTATTTGTAATGATAGCGTCAGTTCGAGAACTTGCCTTCAGTGATAGTGATGCTTTGGCTGAAATAATTCAGCTCAAACTCTTTGCATTATGATCATCCTTTCCTAACATGTATATTAAGGTCATAAGAGTCTCAGGGCCCGCCTGGGTTTTATGGATATTCTAGCCAGTCCAAAGCAGGTATCGTGTAAACAGAACAACACATACTTTATCCAGATATGAAACGAATGTCATCAAGAGGCCCCGGAAACACGTCTGTGATTGATTGATAGCTCAAGTACTTCAGTGGGCAGAAGACTGGAGAGAATTGTGGCTAGAGATGTGGGATACAGAAAGAAGAGAACATTGTCTTCAAATGGGAAACAGTAAATGAGACAAGGGGAAATTGCTGGGAACACTGTGGACCCCTCGGTGCTGACTGCGCAACCCGAAGCTTCTGGAAGAATTGGCAAAACCTGAACTATCTGAAATAGTAAGAAACTGTTGTTGATTTTTAATCTGTAAATTCTCTTAGAATTTGGTTTCCCCAAAATGAGTTATTTGCTTTGGGATGCTTGTTACTTACTGTATCGATTATATTTGAGAAAATGAAGAATAATGTGAAAAGTTAAAATGTAACTTGTGACTTTGGCTCTGCTGAGCTGTAACTTGTAACTTTGGCTCTGCTGAGCTGTCGTTGTAAAAACAGGAACTCTGTCTAAAAGACCAACCACATAGCCTGGCTGCCGGAGAGAGATGACAGCACGTAATAAGCTTCTGGCTGCAGAGAGCCTATAAACGGACGTGTAATGGAGAGGCTCATTACCCAGATTCCTTTCCCAGGAAAGGCATATTGATTATGGCCCTGGAAAGGGAATGCAGCCCTTATGGAGGGACGCATGAGGGGCGTCTCTTTGAAGGGAAACCTCTGTGGAAATATGATACAAAAGTCTTTCTTCTCCCACTGCTCCTCCCTGCCTGCATGGGGGCCTCCCCGCTTGCAGCTTTGTGGTCAAGCTGGTTGCCCTGTGTCAGATCCTGTTCCCCCTGCAGCTGTGAGCCCAGTGTGTTTCTTGCTGATAGTTTAACCTCTATTCTTGCTAAGGTATATGGTTTTTATGCTAACGCACAGAAAGTAACTTTTACATGGTTCTGCTTTTACAATACATTATGATCTTTGGTCAACAGTTTTTACTTATGTTTCTTTTTGTATAATTATCACTGAAACTTTGAGTAACCTCACTCACCCTCCCCTATTGAAAGAGCCAGATAAAAAACAGGTTTTCAGGGGAATGTGAGACATCCACGGAACAGCATTATGTGGTGTCTCCCCCGGGCCCAGCTTTAACGAAAAATGTTTCCTTGTCTTTTCACGGATACACTCGATCACTTTGAGAGACACTGAACCCACGTTGATGTATTGGGAGCTGGTCTCGTAATAGGAAATGAAAGAGCACATTCCCAGATGGAGCAATTTTATTTCCAAACATGATTCAGAACAGATAGATGCTCTGCTACCTCCACACTGGATTTTCATTTTATAAAATATATTTACAATTAAAATCTTTCATAAAATCTACCTTTCCCTTTGTAGTGGGAAGTAAGCAAAGTCAAAGGTTAAAAGGTCATGCATAAAATATATCCACCAAGATCAATTATATAATAGTCTTAAATTCTTCACAAATCAATGATAAAACTTATACTTCGCTATATAGCACTTCAAGGTTTTTCTTTATATATTAATGTTCATATTTCACAATTTTACAAAATGATTATCATTTTCATAAAATAGGAAAACAAAGCCACAGTACAAAAAAAATCAATCTGCAGAGTGCAAATATTTTTTATAAGAATAAAAACTAAAATAATGAAACTCAAATCCTTTATCAGAAACAGTGGCTGGCCTCTTTTTCCCTTTGCTCCCTTTTCATCTGAGAGAGCCTTTTAGAGATCAGGATTCATTCGTTGTCTGCAATTACTATAGATTTGGTCTCACAATTTTGGGGAAAAAAGTCATTTTAAGGAACTCTGTGTATATATTATATTTTCTTTTTCTTAAAGATACACAACCTCAAAATAAGGTCCAAATATTGGTTTCATCATGTGGTATCAAAAGAATAGTATAGGCCGGGCATGGTGACTCACGCCTGTAATCCCATCACTTTGGGAGGCCGAGGTGGGCGGATCACAAGGTCAGGAGATCAAGACCATCCTGGCTAACATGGTGAAACCCCATCTCTACTAAAAATACCAAAAATTAGCCAGGCATGATGGCATGTGCCTGTGGTCCCAGCTACTTGGGAGGCTGAGGCAGGAGAATCACTTGAATATGGGAGGTGAAGGGTGCAGTGAGGCTTGTACCACTGACTCCAGCCTGGTGACAGAGTGAGACTCCATCCCCCCCCCCAAAAAAAAAAGAATAGTAGTATATGAGGAGGATACTTATTATAGAATAAGAACTAAAATCCCAATTTTTTAGGAAAAAAAAAAAGACCCTCGATAATGTATGTGTCTGTGTATAAGGAACTATGACCTACCAACAAACCACATAAGAAGAGGTGAATACAATTTGCCAGTCTGACAAAACAGTTGGTATTTATAGCAGCAAGCGATGGAAGAGATCTCAAGGATCACATAATTCAGCTCTTTGATTTCAGAGGCAGGAAAGAAGAGGCCCAGAGATGATAAGTGGCTTGCCTAAGTGCATTAGCAAGTTAGCATCAGTGGTTATTTTTATACACACACAGGCACACAAACATACTGTTGCATTGACTTCTGTTTTGTACATAAACTGCTACTGGCTCATACAATACATCAATAGGTATGCAAATTTTCATTTGCTGTTTCATAGCCGGAGGTGGGAAATACCCATGCTTCCCAGGAGTGAAATGGTTCTACTTTCTCTCCGTGGTGCACTGTAGCATGACTTGGCTCCACTGCTGCTCTCTGCAGACCCTAAGAGTAGCATTGGGGAAGAAGGTAGGATGGCAGGAAGGCAGGCAGAGATGCTCAACTCAAATCAGCATGGGAGTGTCTTGTGTCAAAGATGTTCCCATTGGCAGTGAAGACTTTACATGGAGTTAAGCTTGGCTGTTGAAACTTCCAAACCTGGCTGGAAGGAAATGAGGGATCTAGGCACCAGGTGCCAGTGTAAGCCCTTCACCCAAAATATGAGCTTCTGTTCTTCTGACCCTAAAAAGCAGAGCTGAGCAGTGTGTGCCTTGCCTAAGCTATTTAACTATAAACTTGGATGACTTCGCTAGGTGCAGTCATCGTTTCTAATTATTTTAACTTGTATACGCATATAAACATGAAAATATTTGTGCCTATGGAATAGTAGTATTAATAGCTATTATATCATTTCCACAGAAATATATAGTTTTAACTATAGGGAAAGGTTTAAAACCCTAAGGTGGTTTTTTAAAAAATACCATTGTTTTTAATATTTATGACAGACAGCTTTCTGAAAAACCTTAAGTCTAGCTATGTATACTAATATTAAATAACTTAAAAAAATAAACAGTACATTATGTTGTACCAAAATAGCTCCATTTAAAGCCATATAAGTGAAAAAATTGAATTTTCAAGAATAGACTAGACCTTTTAAAGGTATTTTTCATAATTTTAAACTAATATTAAATGCATTTTTTGACTGTGCCAAATATATACACACTGCTCTTGGTACCTTATGTCAGAAGTATTTTTACATGAAACAACAGGTTGTTGTATTTATCTGTTTTTACCTGTTCTATAATGAAAAGTTTACTCTAAATCTATATAAATTTGCTCCCAAAGATGATCTCAAGGAGAAGGGGGACAGCACAACCAAAAAACAACAAAAACTTAATGCTGTATAGATATCCAGTGCATGCAACTCTGTATTTTCTAGTAACAGTGATGGAAAGTAACTTTCAAGTATCACTGTAAGCCAACTGGACTTACAGATAGTTATCTCATAAAATAAACATTCTAGAGGAACAAAGTCCTTTGAGAAACTTGTTCTTTCTAGAAAGCCTTTGCCAGAATTCCCATAGGAAACAAAACCATCCATTCACAAAGAACAGAGGGTACTTGGTCCTCAGTACTGACCTGAAAGTGCACACATTTAACACTGCTCTGAACTCAAGGTAAACTAGCAGAATTGAGGAGTCCACGTTTTCTTAACTTCTTAAAAGGTCACTCTACCATCCACAGCTGGAAGAACTGCTTCTGAAAAGAAAATCCTGATGAAGGCGGGACCCAAAGCTATTTCCAGTTCCTAGTCCTGCTTTCTGTAGCTCTTCGTATGAGTATAGTTGGCTAAAATAACAAGAACAGAGAGACTGGCCCACTCTGGGAACCAGATTCAGATGTTTTTGCACTTCAGTTAGTTAAATTCATTTTTTAAAATTAGGTTATCACAAAGTCTTCAGTTATGGAATTGAGATTCCATAATTCACAAATAAAAGGGGATGGGAGAAAGAATTAGTCAACTAAAAAGTGCATGTCTTTCCAAAGCAGGTGAAGGAGGTCAAGAGAGGCTCGAGCCTTCTGGAAGTTTTGCTCATTTATAGGTTTTGATCCAGCCAGTTGATATAACTATTCCTAGTCCGGATTCCCACTGAGAAGTTGGTGGGCCAGCTGGTGAAAATCATACATCCATGAAAGCCATCCTCAAAGTAATCCAGGGTCACCTCCACACCAGCACTCTCCAAACGCTTGGCATACATGATCCCATCGTCTCTGAGGACGTCATGCTCACACGTCAGAATGTAGGTCTTTGGGAGGTCCTGTAGCACCGCCTGGTCGGCAATGAGCGGGGCGGAGCGGGCATCCAGCAACTGAGGAAGCTCCCGGACAATCCCGGCATTGCCTGTGGTCTGCACGACAGGCTTGTAATTCTTTATGATGGATGCAGGCAAGAGGGATGTCCAGTTCAGACGGGCCCTGAGGGCAGCAGCCTCTTCCACATCAAGCGAAGTGTGATTGTTAACGATCATTGCCTGCACAAAGTCGTAGTTGCCTTTGAAGTAGTCCACCCAATATTTCACCATGACATAGCGGGGCAGGATTGGGGTGTTCATATTTTGCTGATAAGATGGTGTGTTAAAATCTAAAGCTTGAAGAACTGGATAGATTAAAGCTTGCAGTTTGAGCTTATTTTTTAGGCTGGCGTCTTGAGTAAACTAGAGAAGAGGAAGCAAATACAGTATTTCATTTTGCACGGCTTCTTTATAGAAACCATACGTGATAGAGTAGCTTAATGTGTTACTTTTAATTTGTCAGTGGCATAAGTGTTACATTTCTACCAGGCACTGTATAAATAACATAGTTTAAAAAATAATTCTCCATCATTACCATCACCACCCTACCAAGCTGCTAGATACTCAATTAAGAAAGGTATGATGTTGGCTGCGCGCGGTGGCTCACGTCTGTAATCTCAGCATTTTGGGAAGCCGAGGCAGGAAGACCATAAGGTCAGGAGTTCAAGACCAGCCTGACCAACATGGCGAAACCCCATCTCTACTAAAAATTCAAAAATTAGCCGGGCATGGTGGTGCATGCCCCTGTAGCCCTAGCTACTCAGGAGGTTAGGCAGGGAATCGCTTGAATCCGGGATATGGAGATTGCAGTGAGCTGAGACCGCACCACAACTCAGTTTTGAGTGAACCCTATACTTTATCTTTAGGCACTTAAGACACCTGGGTATTATGAATGAATAATGTGTGAAAATTATTTAATTTTTCATTCTCTACAAAACCCCAAAAAAGGTCATGGCTTCCCAGGGAGAAAAAAAAATTAGTTTGACTCTTCCAGAAGAGAGAAGCAGAAGAAACTTATTAAACAGATTACGAGACTCCAGAGTGTCTTAGTGGGACCTCAGGGCATGCCTTCTGGTCAGCATCAACACGCTTGATGAGATGAAATTTAAATAGTCTGGCATTGCACCCTCCATTCCACATAATGAGCACATGGCATAGAGTGAAGTTGTCCTGGGAACGTGAATGAGTCCCCTACCTCAACAGATCTCAGTTCCCCTGCGCCTCCCCACAGTGTTAATATATTGCCCCATTTTGCAATTCTAGTGTGCAAAATTATATATTTGTCACATAACATCTAAAAGAAAGCTAACTAGCCATGAAGCTTCATACACAACTAAATGATCTTCAAGGTAACTTTAGCTTTGCACTTTTGCTTCACACCTGGACTTTAGAAACCCATCCCAGGGAATATGTGACTGCTCCAAAAGCATGAAGGATGGTCAGTAGACAGTACTTTGAATATGTGCCAAAGAGCGTACACGCATCACCTCACGCAGTCCTTGCCACAGCCCTGCAATCAGATGGCATTGTCCTCATTTTTCTGAGGCTCAGCAAGGTTAAGGGACTTACCTAGTGCCCCGTTAAGGGTGGGCCCTGAGTTAGATCCCAGTGCTGTCTGGCTTCAAAGCCAAGAATGCTCTCTCCACTGAGCCATGACTTTCTTCTGACTGTATTTGAATGGGAAACTTACCAGTGCCAAATGGAGGATCAAGTTAGTGAATTATAGCAAAAGAGTTAGATAGAAAGCAAGGGACATTATAATTAAAATGACAGATGCTATTTGAGGACACCAAATGAAATGTGGAGGTGAGAAGGCAAAGATTAGTAATGTCATCCAAACAGGAAGAAGATGTGGTGTTATCTTTGAGTTTTCAACACTGCCAAAAATATTGGGGTGCTATTAGAGCTAGACATAGTTTTCAAAGAATTCAACCAGGTAAAGCTCATAGTAACTTGTAATATTTAAACAGCTGAATTAATTTTTTCTTTTACATTAAAAAAAAGTTGGGGAGGCCAGGTGCAGTGGCTCATGCCTGTAATCCCAGCATTTTGGGAGGCCAAGGTGGGCGGATCACGAGGTCAGGAGATTGAGACCATTCTGGCTAACATGGTGAAACCTCATCTCTACTAAAAATACAAAAAAATTAGTCAGGTGTGGTAGCTCACACCTGTAGTCCCAGCTATTCAGGAGGCTGAGGCAGGAGAATCATTTGAACCTGGGAGGTGGAGGTGGGAGGGGGAGGTTGCAGTGAGCTGAAATTGTGCCACTGCACTCCAGCCTGGGTAACAGAGCAAGACTCAGTCTCAAAAAAAAAAAAAAAAAAAGTTGAGGAAACAAATTTTGATGTTTTAATTTGGCTCAAAGTTTTATAGAACCATCTTAGGAACTGGAATTTAAGCAAAAATACTCTATTCTGCAAGTCAAACATGAAAAAGGAACAGGGGATCCTTGAGTTCCATACATAGCCCTGAGAAGCAAGGGATGTCATCAGCCCTTCTCTAACAGTGATTGTGATCAGGGATTTTACAAAGACCCATCAATGACACTTCCTCCACTCACCCGTCTTCCTGCTTCAATAAGATGTCTGAGAGCTCTCCAAGTATAATCACATGAACAACTTGACCATCTAGGGACCCGCTCACCCAACTATGCCTTTGCTGGATGTAACGGAGAATGCGTTGGTCTGATGGACCTTACTTATGCACCACTCCACCCAGCAGCACCTCAGGACTGTGGGGTTACCTGTTGACCAACGGCAGCAGCCAGATTTCCACCAGCACTGTCACCAGAAATGCCAATTCTGCCTGGATCAACCATATACTTCTCTAAGACTTTTGGCTCCAGGAAGTACTTTGTGGCTCGTACAACGTCATTAATTTGCTCAGGAAAATAAACCTTTGGAACTAGCCGGTATCTGTAGAAACAAAAGTTGTATTCATTTAAGGCCTTCACCCATTTTTCAGGACGGTTAAAATTTACGGCTAAAAGAAGTACTTCTTTTAAATCTGGAAATAAATAGATAAGAAATTCAATGAAATTATTGTATGAAAAAGAAAAAGATAAAATATAAAAGTAAACCATTTTCTTGTGAATCAAATACTTAGTTTTAAATGTGATGATTTTGTATTAGTAATAGTACTATTTTTCGTTATCAGCCATCAAACCAAACCTACTTACCACCAAGAACCAAAATAAAATTTCAAAGTAAAAGGCGGATGTTGATTACAAAGACGTGGATAGGTAGCACTGTAATAGATTTTAGAATTTCATTTCCGGAAGTCAGTATTCCATTCATAATGCCTCTGGGTTAAGAGGTGACTAGGCAGCATTAGCCACTTCATTGATCTCACATTTCCTAAGTCCATTATTTACTTAATAAAATTATACATCACTGGAGAGGTCCAGACCACCCTGACACTAAACCCAAGCAATGCATTCACTGCCTGGAAGACAAACTAAAAGGCCACTTGTTAACCAGAAAGGGAAGAGAAGTTTTCCAGACAGCCTAGAGCAGGCCCTCAGGGAGACTTCTGGAGCTCCTCCTACTGGCCCCACTTCGCAAGATCAGAGTCCTTTGGAATCTACTCCGCACACCTGCTAGAATTCATATTCCCTTAAGATCCCCAAAGAACTCTGGATTTTCAAAGGCCCCAGCCGTAACATTATCTTACACATCCACATTGGCAGTCTCGGGTTGGAGTTCCCTCTCACTCTCCACTCTCCTCTTTTGCTTATTAATTCTCACTCATCCTTTAAGCCTTAACTGGAGAGTCTGGCCTTCTCTAGGCAGCCTGCCTTGGTCATATCTCCCCTTGATTTTTTGCTTGACCTGGCTACCATTCCTTGGTATTACTACATGCTGAGGTATGTCATTCCCTGTTCTTATTGCCTTATATGAATATTATCCGGGTTTTTCCTAAATATTGTGTTTTCTGATATCAGAAACTTTGTCTTATTCATTACTGTTTCCAGTATCAACCAATGTGAGGGGCAATCATCCATCCAACAAACGTTTTTTTGAGTATTAACATACCTTCATCTTGTGAAAGAAGAAACTAAGGCATAGAAAGTTACTCGTAAAAACTCAAAAAACAGAACAAAATTAGGTAGGATGAAAACAAATCACCTAATTAAAACCTAGTAATAGCAAAGACTCAAGACTTTTGATTTCCATCTTATAATTAGCATACTTATTTTCACAAACTAGTTTTTTCTAAGCTACTCTAAATAAGAACATTTATTTTCCGCCGTCTAAAATTCAGCTAGTTGGGCCATGCGGGGTGGCTCATGCCTGTAATCTCAGTTCTATGGGAGGCCGAGGTGGGCAGATGACTTGCGATCAGAAATTCAAGACCAGCCTGGCCAATATGGTGAAACTCTGTCTCTACTAAAAGTACAAAAAATGGGCCAGTGTGCAGTGGCTCATGCCTGTAATCCCAGAACTTCGGGAGGCTGAGGTGGGCAGATCACCTGAGGTCAGGAGTTCAAGACCAGCCCGATCAACATGACAAAACCCCATCTTTACTAAAAATAAAAAAAAAATTAGCCGTGCATGGTGTGGGCACCTGTAATTCAAACTACTCAGGAGGCTGAGGCAGGAGAATTGCTTGAACCTGGGAGGTGGAGGTGGAGGTTGCAGTGAGCCAAGATTGTACCACTGCACTTCAGCCTGGATGACAAAGCGAGACTCCGTCTAAAAAAAAAAAAAAAAATTAGCCTGGCAAGGTGGTACACACCTGTAACCTCAGCTACTTGGGAGGCTGAGGCATAAGAATTGAACCCAGGAGGTGGAGGCTGCAATGAGGTGAGATCACGCCACTGTACTCCAGCGTGGGTGAAAAATAGAGACCCTGTCTCAAAAACCATTGTTTAAATAAAATCCAGATAGGTAATTAAACATCTTGACATTCAGTGTAGACTCAATCAAATGGACAAATGTTTGTGAAATATGTTGATAAATACTGAATGTGGATCTGGTCAGTCAGGAATTATTACATTTTGAAACTAAATACAGTAAAAAAAAAAACTCCTTAGTGTTTGCCATATTGCAGATAAGATAAAATAAACTTTCTAATTTCTTACTTTTCCATCTGGGGTGGTCAATTAATCGTGCAAAATACTTTTTTCCAGTTGATTTTTCATTATGTATGAAAGCTGCTGCTGTATGATTCCATTTGAGCAAAAAAGTAGAATTACACAGTTTTGTCCACTAGGTGGCATCATTTCATATGATTCTATTTACCTCTAGTTCTTATTTGGGGGCGGCGGGGTGGGGGGTGGCGGGGAGGGGGTCTCAATTTTAAATCTTCAGTATGACCAAGCTGAATTTTTAACTTTAATGAAAACAAATGTACTTCATGACTCAAGTTGTAAAAACAAAGGTTATTTCATTTCAGCAATATCCCACATATCACAATAAACTGTTTTCCTAAAGCCCAAGTGGTCTGCACCAAGTTTGGCCCAGCCGTGGGACCCAGAATTCGGCCATGCCAGAAAAAAAAAGTCCCAGCTATTCGGGAGGCTGAGGCAGGAGAATCTTTTGAACCCAGGAGGTGGAGGTTGCAGTGAGCCTTGATCGGGCCATTGCACTCCAGCCTGGCGACAGAGTGAGACTTCATCCCCCAAAAAATAGTACCGAGTTCCAAACATGCTTATAAATAAGTGTGTGAGTTGACCTTTTCGTTCTATATAGAATGAAAGGCTAGATAGAGCAATAATCCTCCAGAATCGAGGGCCCTCAGGCAAGGAGCTGCTGGCTGCAGACAAGCTTCTCTTCTAGAAGGTGGAGGTCCAGGAGAACCAAGGGTCCACCATCTTCCTAAAGACTCTCCGAATCATTCACACTGACTTCTGTTTTCCTCAGTCGTCCCTCCATGTGTCTTCGCTCACATTTCATTCCCTCATTGCTCTCTGCCTCCTCCCTCTCCTCCCAAACCCTCATATTACACCACTTTGGTCTTCTATGACCAATCTACTTTTTCTAATGACGTTCTGCTCATCCTTAGGGGTTTCATCCTAACAACCACTTTCTTTTTTTCCTTTTTTTTTAAATTATGCTTTAAGTTCTGGGGTACATGTGTAGAGCTGCAGCTTTGTTACTTAGGTATACACGTGCCATGGTGGTCTGCTGCACCCAACAACCCATACATTAGGTATTATTCCTAATGCTCTCCCTCCCCCAGCCCCTACAGGCCCCAGTATGTGATGTTCTCCTCCCTGTGTCCTGTGTTCTCGTTGTTCAACTCCCACTTACGAGTGAGAACACGCAGCAAACACCACCTTTTTAAGACACCTTTTCCGACCCTTTATAAACGAGGTGAGGTCTTGCCTGTTAGATGCCTGTTACCACCTGCCCTTCTACTGCCATCGCTTATCACACCTTTAACATTACTTACTCAAGGTCTTCCTCTTCTAGATGATAAACTCTACGAGGCGGGAATTAAGTCATTCTTACATTGTCACGTCACCAGAATTTAACCATGGTAACTGGCACTAAACAGGAATCCAATAAATACTTATGGAATAAAAGAAAGAAGAAAGGCTGGACGCGGTGGCTCACGCCTGTAATCCCAGCACTTTGGGAGGCCAAGGTGGGTAGATCATGAGGTCAAGAGATCGAGACCATCCTGGTCAACATGGTGAAACCCCGTCTCTACTAAAAATACAAAAATTAGCTGGGCATGGTGGCGCGTGCCTGTAATCCCAGCTACTCAGGAGGCTGAGGCAGGAGAATTGCCTGAACTCAGGAGGCGGAGGTTGTGGTGAGCCGAGATCGCAGCATTGCACTCCAGCCTGGGTAACAAGAGTGAAACTGCGTCTCAAAAAAAAAAAATCAAAAACCAAAACAGAAAAGAAGAAAGAAGCGAGCCGCTGAGATCCAGCTCTGAACACACTGTTTCTTTTGCTGTTGTTTGTTTCCTTTTGAGACAGGGTCTTGTTGTGTCACCCAGGCTGGAGTGCGGTGGTGCAACCTCAGCTCACTGCAGCCTTGACCTCCCAGGCTCAAGCGATCTTTCCAACTCATCCTCCCGAGTAGCTGGGACTACAGGCATGTGCCACCATGCCTGGCTAATTGTTTAACTTTTTTGTAGAGACAAGGCTTTGCCATATTGCCCAGGCTGGTACTGAACTCCTGGACTCAAGCGATCCACCTGCCTCAGCCTCCCAGTGTGTTGGGATTACAGGTGTGTGAGCCACTCTACCTGGCCTGAGCACCGTTTCTAAGAGAAACATCATGATCATATAATGCTGGCTGTACCTCAACTAGAGCAAAGGTTATAAAGTGTTCCTGAGTTAGCCTGAATCCTAGCAAGAATTACTACCTCATTATTTCTGGGCGGGGGGGGGGGGGGGGGAGGAGAGAAGGAAAAGGCCGGGCATGGTGGCTCACACCTGTAATCCCAGCACTTTGGGAGGCTGAGGCAGACAGATCATGAGGTCAAGAGATTGAGACTATCCTTGGTGAATCCCCATCTCTACTAAAAATACAAAAATTAGCTGGGCATGATGGCAGGTACCTGAAGTCCCAGCTACTCAGGAGGTTGAGGCAGAAGAATCACTTGAACCTGGGTGGTGGAGGTTGCAGTGGGCCAAGATCGAGCCATTGCACTCCAACCCAGTGGCAGAGTGAGACTTCATCCCCCCAAAAATAAAAAAGTACTGTGAATTCCAAACATGCTGATAAATAAATGTGTAAGTTGACCTTTGCATTCTATAGGCTAGATAGAGCAATAATCCTCCAGAATCATCTAGTGCTTTTGAGTATCTGAAGGCCTTTTCTATCGATCGTCTAAAATGATTCTCGTGACAACGCTCTGCAGTCATTATCACAACTCAGCATGCACTTCCCTGACACGCACATTCCAAGCCTTGCACTGGGCGCTGGAGATGCAAAGGAAGGAAGACAGGATTTCTGTTTCCAGGAGTTCACATTCTTTTATTTTTGCTTTGTTTTTTAAGAGATGCATTCTCACTCTGTTGCCTAGGCTGGACTCAACTCCTGGGCTCAAGCAGTCCTTGTACCCCAGCCTCCCAAGCAAGGCACACCACCGTACCTCGCTGTTTCCCAGTAGCTCACATTCTAAACACACAGGAAGTGTCCTCAGCCCCATTTTGCACATGAATTTAAGTGACTTGCCTGAGGTCCCACAGTCATGAGTGATGGAACTTGACTGCTGTACGCTGATACCTCCCATCTGGATACCACGTTGTACAGATGAGGAACAATGCAAAGTTAAATAAAAGCAGTCCCTTCTGTGTTTTAGTTCTTTTCAAAAAGTCTTCTTAAACATACCTTACTCTTCTGTGTCTTATGATAAGCCTGGCGATACCTATTTTACTTGAGACAGATGCTGATGAGGAGAGAAGGAAATGGAGGAACCGTTTAGGGCACATGGCCATATAGCGATATGGAAGCCTGGAGGGTAAGCCCTGTGGTGAATGGCAAATCCGCAGGATGCCAGCTGAAGCAAGCCCAGCTTCTCTCTTTTTCTCAGGCCTGCAAGGAGCTGGGGCTACACAAGAAACCGACCGAATGGCTCCTGAAGCTTGTTCCTCAACACCGAGCCGTAGGGCCCCCTCTGCTGAAACCTCCCAGTGCTTTCCTCTGGCCAGCTGCCCAAATCATTTCCTCGAAGGTCTCTGCATTCCCAGACGGCACTGACAACCCTTGAGTAAGCTGGGAGGCCGCTCTGAGAGTCCAGAAAGGCCCAGGTGCGGTGGCCACTTACTCAGCGGATTTGGCTGCAGCTTTCTAGACTCTAGGGCTTTCGTCCACAGGGTCAGAACTGCTAAATGACTCTGAATAGACTCTTCCAAGAGACTGCAGAAGAAAAGATCCACTTACATGTGGAGGAGGAGCAAGGAGGTGGGGAGCAATGGACAGGAGGGCAGCTGACAGAGGCAGAGGGAAGAAGAGAAGTGAATACACCTGGGGCAAGAACAAGTGGCTGATGTTACGGCCCTACCACTCAGCATTATAAGCTTCCTTCAGTCGTGGCTTGAGCCTGGATCAGAAAGGTCCAGAGACCTTGGGAATTATCCGTCCTATTCCCCTACCCCATCTATGCGATAAGCTAGCTATCTGGCCTTATGCACATTACTTAGCTTCTTGGGTCTCAATTTCCTCACTTATGAAGAAGATACCAAAATATCTTGGATGCTTTATATGAGAATTAAGATGCTTGGGCCAGGTGCAATGGCTCACACCTGTAATGGCAGCACTTTGGGAGGCTGAGGCAGGCGGATCACAAGGTCAGGAGATTGAGACCATCCTGGCCAACATGGTGAAACCCCGTCTCTACTAAAATACAAAAAGTTAGCCAGGTGTGGTGGCGTGCACTTGCAATCCCACCGCTGCTTGGGAGGCTGAGGCAGGAGAATCACTTGAACACGGGAGGTGGAGGTTGTGGTGAGCTGAGATTTTACCAATGCATTCCAGCCCGGGCAACAGAGCAAGACTCTATCTCCCCCCCAAAAAAAGATGCTTCATGCATTCATTTCGTAAATATTTACTGAATGCTCACCATATGCAGAAATGTTTCCAGGCGCTAATGATTCAGCAATGAACAAAACGTCAATCCTAAAATGTTTGCCTTTATAAAGTTCATGTTGTCTATTTTCACTTACTACAATAAACATATAATAAGTTAAATATACGGTTTGTCAGATGCTGATGATCGCTTTGGAGAGATAAAACAGAGGAAGGTGGGTTGCAGTTTCACAAAGGCTTGTTGAGAAAAGGGTTGGCTGAGAGGATGGTATCTAAACCAAGACCTGAAGTAGAAGAGACATTTGCGCAACGTCTGCCACAGAAAAGGTGGCGTGATTTTTGTGTTATGTTATATTATCACAATTGTTATCATTATTATTCACCTTCTTAGTTGCCCAGAAAAGTGGCTTATACAGAACTGATGGAGACAACTCAAAATATTAATATTACTACTACTCTAACTAGTACTACTGACTATACCAATAAAATATGTTCAACATGCATTTCTGTTTCCAAGTCCAAGCTGTAGAACCTGACTCAAAGAGAACAACTTTTTCCAACTCTTGGCTGTAGAAGAGATTCTTTTAAAATCCTTACTGCTTTTTAGATTTAAAAAGTTAGTATTAACTGATTGCATATTTCTCTAGGTTTTTAGTTGATCCTTTTTTCAGAGGTTTTCCAAACTAAAGATGAAAATGTAATTTGAGGTGTTATATCAGAAATCACTTCTCTGATCATGCCCAGTGTGACTTTGGGCAAATCACTTTGCCGCTCGAGAGCTTTACTTCATGCTTTATCACTCGTAACACAAAGTAACTAGACCGTTATCTAGAATTACTTACTCAATGGAGACAATGACAGCACTCAGTTCCTCAGCCATTGCTGTACACAGCTCATCATAATACCTGATTTCTAAAAGACACAAAGGGAACAATCATCACAAAACACATCATTTAATAGTGTCCACTGTTTTTTGTTTTGTTTCAGATAGAGTCTTACTCTGTTGTCCAGGCTGGAGTGCAGTGGTGTGGTCTCGGCTCACTACAATCTCTGCCACCCGGCTTCAAGCAATTCTGCCTCAGCCTCCCAAGTAGCTGGGATTACATGCACCTGCCACTGCACCAGGCTAATTTTTGTAGTTTTAGTAGAGACAGGGTTTCACCATCTTGGCCAGGCTGGTCTTGAACTCCTGACCTCGTGATCCACCCACCGTGAGCCACTGCGCCCGGTCCTGTCCACTTTTAAATTCTGCTATGTGTGAATTGTTTTTAGGCTTCAAGCTAATAATTAAATAATAAAAAGCAAATGTGAACAAATGTCTTAATAGAGTTACATTTACACATGAAAAATTAAATCTGATTTCAAATAACATGCAACTACTATAAAGAACAGGAAATGCATAGTTTAGTTTTTAATATATTACTATCTAAATATTTATTTCATAATAGACCATATGAAATGCACCAAATTAATCCTGATTTTATAGCTTTTCAAATGTATATAGCTTTCTAAAAAAATCACAGCATACAAGCAGTCTCTTCCTTAGAATCATACAATTTTGGGCTGGGAGTGGTGGCTCATGCCTGTAATCTCAGCACTTCAGGAGGCTAAGGAAGGAGACACTTGAAGTCAGAAGTTTGAGACCTGGGCAAAATCGCCAGATGCTGTCTTTATAAAAAAAAGGTTTTTAATTCCCCAGGCATAGTGGTGCACGCCTACATTCCCAGCTGCTTGGGAGGCTGAGGAAGGAAGATCACGTGAGTCCAAGAGTTTGAGGTTACAATGAGCTATGATAGTGGCACTGTACTCTGGCTTTGGTGACAAAGTGAAATCTTGTGTCTAAAAATAATAAATCAACTTTTGCTCTTTTAACACTTCATTTACTGTAGTTCGGTAAAGTGATCAGTTAAGAATATGGTGTTCTTTTTAAATGAACACATAAAAAACTAGAATTTTAGGAAATCTTAGCATTTCTTAGCAGATCCAAAGGCCTGTGGTAACAGAACCAATTTTAATATATAAGAATTTAATCTTTAGTTGCTCTCAATAAATTAAGATATATATTGTGCCAACTGGGAGCCAAATATTTCCTATTTATAGGCTTTCCAAGGCAGTCTTAGAATCAGAAGTTTAAGAATTACATGGACACCTGCTCAAGTTCTTCCTCGGGCAGATGTGATCAGTCAAAATTATGGGGAGGTTAGGGAGGTCAGGGAGGGATAACATGGGGAGAAATGCCAGATGTAGGTGATGGGGGGATGGAGGCAGCAAAGCACATTGCCATGGGGTACCTATGCAACAGTCCTGCATGATCTGCACATGTACCCCAGAACCTAAAGTCCAATTTAAATAAATAAATAAATAAAATAAAAATTTAAAAATTACGCAGAAAAGGCCCGTTGACTCTTGTAACCCATTCTGTTCCTGGCCCCCACACTTCCTGGCCCCCAGTACAGCGTTTTTTGCCTGGCACGTGTCCAATGCCACAGACTCAGTCTCTTCTAAGGCAGAGACTCCTTCTTACTCATTTTTGAATCCCTATCCCCTAGCACACATTAGGCTGACCAGTGGTCCAGACTTGCCCACAGCTGTTGGAACTTTTACGCTGAAATATCTGCAACCCAGCAAATCCCTTGGTGAACAGCTATTGAAAATATGGGGGACAAAAATCACTGAATAAAAGAATAAACAATGGATCTGGAATCAAATAAGACTACTAGAAAAAAATTATATCGTTCGACCTTGTTGCTTTAAAAAAACCACACAATGATAAACAAAACAAGTTGCCATTGCTTTTAAACTAAGGGGATGCCAAAAGCTCCGGAATGTAGATAAGGAAGTAGCTCCATGATCATTATTAGCAGAGATAAGGCTCCGACTTCCTTCTTGGGAGGCTCTCCTCTGGCCTGCTGCATTTGGCTGCCTGCCCTTTTGAATGTGCTCTACTCATGAAAATCATCCAAATCTACACAAAATATTCTTGAACTTTGCAAGATTGTTTCCTTTTAATGGCTGCATACATTTTATATTTTAACCTTTGCGTTCATAAGCAGATAAAATGCTAACATGTGCATTAAGGAATACCTGGTCTATTTCATAGAAATATATCTTCAAAAGACAAGTTGGCCAAAGAGACACAGATAATTCCCCACATGCCTACCCGGTGAAACTCCACCTTGTTTTGGTGCAGAAAGCTGTATCAGCACCGCACAATAAGTTAGTCTGCGATTTAGATCATAGGAAATATTTTTTAAATGGTCTACCTGAATTAATCAACAAATCAATAAGCAAAAACCTTTACGTCGGATAACCACGTAACTTATCACCCAAACCAAGGCCCTTTTGAGCATGAAAAGGGGGCACTAGTAATTTTGCTGAGACCATCCAGGTGAACCAAGATAAACAGTCCCCTTCTTTCCCACTAAGAAAGCCAAACTCCAGCTACTCAGGAGGCTGAGGCAGGAGAATTGCCTGAACCCAGGAGGCGGAGGTTGCGGTGAGCCGAGATCGCGCCATTGCACTCCAGCCTGGGTAACAAGAGCGAAACTCCGTCTCAAAAAAAAAAAAAAAAAAAGAAAGCCAAACTCAATTACACATCTCTCCCCCGGCCAACCATGACAACAAACCATCTGAAGGTGACCAGGACGTACTCGCACTTGCCAATGCCCAGCCTCCTCCGTGAATATAAACAACGCTGCGTTTCAGCGGCTCTTCAGGCTTCGGAGGACCTTCAAACACTCTGACTTCTACACCATCGAAGTCCGTGTCCGTCACCTTCACTTGGGCAGAAGACCATGCGCTTTTTTTGCCAAAAGAAACGATGATAAAGTTTAGCGCCAGCAGGTGATGGCTCAGTCCCAGGTAGTGGATCATGTTGCTCTGCAGGACGAGGGAGGGAATAAAGAGGGAGAGCACACGTCAACTTGGCACCACCAGAGCCTCACTGGCCACCTGGGCGTCTCTATTCCTACAAGCAGCTGCCACTGGAGGGCTCACTGAGCCCTTTTAATACAAAACCAATTGTATTTACCTTTTGCTTTTAGAGTTGACAAAATATTTTCATACATGAGATCTCCTCAGGTATCCTCAGTCCCATGTTATGGAGAAAGCTTAGAAATTAACTATGCTTGCTCATTTCATTGAATAAGTGCTAATTCTGGGACTCAAACCTAATATTAGGTTTGAATTCCAGGATTCAGTATATATTTTTTTTTTTTAGATGAGTCTGGCTCTGTCGCCCAGACTGGAGTGCAGTGGTGTGATCTCAGCTCACTCCAACTTCCACCTCCCAGGTTCAAGCAATTCTCCTGCCTCAGTCTCCCAAGTAGCCGGGATTACAGGCTTGCCTCACTACACCCGGCTAATTGTGTGTTTCTAGTAGAGATAGGGTTTTTCCATGTTGGTCAGGCTGGTCTCAAACTCCTGACCTCAAGTGATCCGCCCGCCTCGGTTTACCAAAGTGCTAGGATTATACGCATGAGCCACCATGCCCGCTCTTGATTTTTAAGTCTACATCTTTTGGAGACTCTTTTGGGTGTGTTTGTTTGTTGTTTTTTTGAGACAGAGTCCAACTCTGTCACCCAGGCTGGAATGGAGTGGCATGACAATCTCAGCTCACTGCAACCTCCGCCTCCCAGGTTCAAGTGATTCTTGTGCCCCAGCCTCCCAAGTAGCTGAGACTACAGGCATGCGCTATCATGCCTGGCTAATTTTTGTACTTTTAGTAGAGACAGGGTTTTGTTGGCCAGGCTGGTTTCAAACTCCTGGCCTCAAGTGATCCACCCGCCTCAGCCTCCCAAAATGCTGGGATTATAGGTGTGAGCCACCGAGTCTGGCGAAGAATCTTTTACAAAATAGGCATTGATTTAGAAGATTACATGCTGAATAAAAAAGTTCCTAGAACAGGAAATGATTTCTCAGGCTAGATGGTAGAAGAACAGAAGAGAAAATGTTGCAATGAAATGAGGGCTATATGGATAAATACCTGGGAGCCAATGAAAAAAGAACCCTAGGATGTAACAACGCCCAGACAGGTCTATGGAATCTAAAGCAGCTGACCTCTGCCTCATGCCCAGACAGAATCCTGGAAAGAGGCAAAGACCTTAGGTGAGAGGAGGTGCAAGGTAGGTCTAGAAAGATGGTGCCTCAAATGGCCTTAGAGCCCCAGGCTCCAGCTGGTGAAGGAAAAACAGAATGATTCTGCGTGCCCAGCGAAAGCATAAATGTAGCAGGGTCTGCATGAATGTCTTGCAGATGGACCTAAAACAATCTATCTTTTCTCTTCAGCCCATTATATGTACCCAAGAGTTCAAGAGGAATAGAAATGAGTGCCAATGAATCTCAAAGATCTATTATCTTACAGAGAAGAGCAAAGGGTATCCCAGGATGACCAGTAAAGACCAAACACCAAGGACCAGGTGAAACAGTGACGTGGGCTGAGGATGAGTGATACCCAGACGGCTTCCCCAAAACACAATGTCTCAGCATTACGTAAGATCCTCCAAAACCTAAAAGCAAATAGTGCTGAGCGTGAATTCCTCCACTCGCTGGGATTAAGTTTCTACCTAAAAGATGAAGGCTTAAAATATAGATCAAGTTACAGTTCATGCATCCTTGAGCTAATGAAAGAAGATTCGGATTCACTCAAGTAACATTCTGGAAGTAACAAAGTTTCCTGAAACCTCTATTTCTTTCTTATTTATGTTTATTTATGAGACAGTCTCACTCTGTCGCCCACGCTGGAAAGCAGTGGCATGATCTTGGTTAACTACAACCTTTGCCTCCCTGGTTGAAGTGAATCTTCTGCCTTAGCCCCTGGATAGCTGGGATTACAGGCACCCACCACCACACCTGGCTAATTTTTTTTTTTTTTTTTTTTTTTTTTTAGTAAAGACCTGATTTCACCATGTTGGCCAGGCTGGCCTTGAACTCCTAACCTAAAGTGATCCACCCGTCTTGGCCTCTAGGAGAACACAGAAGCAAGATAAGTTTTAAGGGCCCTATGGGCTGCAAAGTACTCCATCTTAGCTAGCTAAAGTAAGCTAGGGCAGTGCTAGAGGTCTTAAAACTTGCCTCCATAACCATTCCAGGATCTAGGGGGAGAATTCTGCCTCAGGAGATAGAAGGGGATAAAGGGTACTCATTAGACCTCAGTGGAACCAGACAAAGAAATCTGGTGGGACACTGGCTCCCTACCCAGGTCTGATGTCTGAAGATCAAAGGACAAGCAGGAATCCAAGGAAACCAAGCAGAAACTGTCCTCTGTTTATTAATATGCAAATTAGTTATATTTATATATGGGTTGTTCTCTTTTGATTCAATCAATGTATAAATTATGAACTATATCCTATGGGCAGAGAACTTTGTAGGAGACAGAATCATCTGAAATTCAGAGTAATAGAGGAGAACCAAGGCCTGCAAATGAACAGCTGATGTTAGTAGCTAAGCAGTAAGTGGTAAGAAACTAGGTAAAGGGCTGCACAAGCTCGGAGAAGAAAGGAATCACCTCTGTCTGAGGATGAAGCCCAGTAAGGTGTCCAGCCTGAATTAGGTCTTAAGGAAAGACAGAGCCCCATCATAGGTGTGGCGAACAAGGAAAAGGGCTGGGAACTAAGGTGCAAGTACTGGCAAGTGTTTTAACTCAAACACCTATGGGTAGGTGAGGTATACAAATAAAATGAAGGCAAGAGGAACTCAATCTAAAAGAGGCACGTGCAGCCCAGGAGTCACCAGCATAGACTCCAGAGCCCAAGCGCCTGCGCTAAAATCCCAGCTCCCTCACTTACCAGCACTGGGACTCTGAGCTAATGAGCAAACCTCTCTGTACCTCAGTCTCCCATCCATAAAGTGGAAATCATTATACCCACTACCTCAAAGACTGTTGTGAAGACTGGAAACTAAAGCGCCTAGAACGGTGCCCGTCGCCTAAGAAGGCCTGCAATGCTCATCACTGATACCACGCCTCTGCTCCAGATCATTTTGTAAAACAGTGAGCCCAGCGACAGACATTCCCATGTTTCCAGGGAAGGTGAGACTATCATTTTTCCCATGATGCACATTTGTTATCAGTACCACATGATTATCAAGTCCTGAAATTGTTGCAAGTTAAAAAAGATGTACAAGAATAATCTTTAAAGAGCATATTTGTATGTTCATCCTGAAGGGGAAGGAGGCAGCTGGGGAAGAACCAGCAGCACACTGATAGCCCATACACATCAATAACTTCGCCTCTGGTCACGTTTCAACATGAACCAGCAACATAAATACTTAAAGCATCGATTCTAACTCACTACCTGATCTGTTCTTCATATTCAAAGGTTTGTATTCTATGTCAGTGACTCGCCAGTTTTTCCACTATGGTCACTTCATTCAGTCCACCAGCTTTTTTTTTTTTTTTTTTTTTAGATGGAGTGTCGCACTGTCACCTAGGCTGGGGTGCACTGCTACCACCTTGGCTCACTGCGCCCTCCACCTGCTGGGTTCACACGATTCTCCTGCCTCAGCCTCCCGAGTGGCTGGGATTATAGGTGCACACCACCATGCCTAGCTAATTTTTTTTTTTTTTTAATAGAGATGGGATTTCACTATGTTGGCAAGACTGGTTTCAAACTCCTGACTTTGTGATACACCCACCTCAGCCTCCCAAAGTGCTGGGATTACAAGTGAGAGACACGGCACCTGGCCAGTCCATCAGCTTTTGAATCCTCTTCATATTCTGTTCTAACTGTGGCTATTAGAGGGAAAAAAATCTATAATCTCATGGAACATTTATCTGCACAAAAATATGTGAGAACTAAAATATTAAATTAATATTTAATGTCTGGCCAGATGTGGTGGTTCACGCCCATAACCCAGCACTCTGGGAGCCCAAGGTGGGCAGATCATAAGGTCAGGAGTTCGAGACCAGTCTGACCAAAATGGTAAAACCCCGTCTCTACTAAAAATACAAAAATTAGCTGGGCATGGTGGAGCAGGCCTGTAATTCCAGCTACTTGGGAGGTTGGGGAAGGAGAATTGCTTGAACCCGGGAGGCGAAGGTTGCAGTGAGCCGAGATTGTGCCATTGCACTCCAGCCTGGGCAATAGAGTGAGACTCCATCTAAAATATATATATTTTGTATATATATATATTTAAATATGTATATTTTATATATATATATTTTTAAAATATGTATATTTATGTATATTTTATACATATGTATATTTTAAAATAATATGTATATTTAAAATATATATATATTTTGTATGTATATTTTAAAAATATATATATTTTGTATGTATATTTTAAAAATATATATATTTTGTATATATATTTTAATATATATTTTGTATATATATATTTAAATACATATTTTGTATATATATATTTATATATATTGCTTGCATATATATTTTAAAAATATATATTTTGTATACATATATTTTTAAAATATATATATTTTGTATATATGTTTTTAAAATATATATATTTAATGTTGAATTGAGAGATGGAACTTAAAGTAAACGTATGTAACCAAGCCTAGGAGAGAAAAAACAGAGGCTGTCCAAAGTGACCTCCCGGACACAGTACCAGCTGAGGTGAATTGAGTTTTAATGAAGGAAGATTCAGATTCACTCAACTAACATGCTGGATGTAACAAAGTTTCCTGAAACCTCTTTAGACATAGCTGGGAAATCCAGGAACACACAGAATTGCGTTAAGGGCCCTGTGGGCTGCAAATTACCCTGTCTTGGCTAGATGAAGTAATCTAGAATAGCTCTAGAAGTCTTAAAATTTGCCTCCATAACCTTTCCAGGATCTAGGGGAAGAATTTTGCCTAAGGAGATGGAAGGGGAATAAGGATACTTACTACGCCTCCGTGGAGCTGAGCAGTAAAATCT